CCAAAGTAAAGGCTTCTTACGCGCTTGTGGATTTGTTTTTCTCTGTGCGTGTATGTGTGTGCGATAGTACTCTACCTGAAAAGCAGAAACAACACAAGTAGTTTGCCACAGCCTGGTTTTTGTTTTTGTTCCTAGTGCCGCGACATCTCTGGGACGCAACCTGTGTCACAGGGACGAATTATATATATGACCGCGATAATTATCGTGGGAAGATGAAACGCGCGGGCTCCGACCTCTTTATGGTCTCGGTTCTCCCTCATAAATTAAATGCAAAATTCGCCTTTAGATACCGAACGTGAAATTAAGGTATTTCTCTTGTGAATTACACGAAGCCGATGACCGCTGCCGCGTTTACTGCAAAGGATAATTTATTTCTCATTCAGGAACGAGAACCTGAAAGATGCCAGAGGGAATGGAGCGCTCATTTTCGTAATAAGTTGTGTTATTTATGTCTTAAGATAAAAGACGCCCTAGATTGGAAAACTACCTCGGCTTATTTATGGAATTGTTAACCCACGTTAATAAAAAAACAATCACGCCTGTTTGCTTAACTGAGTGCCACGCAAACAGACCTTGCATTTAGAGCTCGGCTTAATTGCCCAGGCTGAGATGGCAGAGGTGCTGGCTGCAAGGGCGGGAGGGAGGGATGGCTGTCACCTATGTCCAGCGGCTGTAAACAGAGAGGGGACTTTCGGCACAATAGGTTTTTTCTACTCGTGAAGCACAGATTTGATACGATCACTTCCCTCCCTGCCCCCCGAAAGGATGTCAGCGGTTTTCTCCCGCGGTGTCGCCCGCTGTTTAAGGAACATGGAAAGCTGCATCCTGAGATGCAAAGAGCCGGGCTGGGTGGCTGGTTTCGGAGTTACAGGGATACTGCTGTGATGTTGGAGCCAAAAGAAAGGGAGAGAAGCGAAGCTCTGACTACGTCTAAACATAAACAGCCCGGGGCTGGAAAGCAGTTCACCTCCAGGTCTTCGAGAGGAGAGAAGAGGACAACCCACAGCGAATTGTTTGGGTCCACCTGGGCTTTGCCCAGGTCAAATGGTAGCCCCTCCGCCTACCGCTCCGATGTCATCCTTCTTTCTGACATCTCCGTAAATAAGATTGGCAATGACCACACAACGCGAAGCCTCGGCGGGTTTGCAAGAGACGCGCGGCTTCCCCGGCCCGGGGCTGCCCGTCGGGGCTCCCGGCCCGGGGCTGCCCCTCGGGGCTCCGGTCCCCCCGGGGCTGCCCGTCGGGGCTCCCGGCCCGGAGCTGCCCCTCGGGGCTCCGGTCCCCCCCGGGGCTGCCCGTCGGGGCTCCCGGCCCGGAGCTGCCCCTCGGGGCTCCGGTCCCCCCCGGGGCTGCCCGTCGGGGCTCCGGTCCCGCCGCCGCCGCCCCTCGCCCGGCTCCGGGGAGGCGGCGGCCGCGGCCGTGGCCGCTGCCCGGGCGCCCACGGGGGGGGAGCGGGGGGCACGGCGGCTGCCGGCCGGCTTCGTTTCTTCGGCAGCCCCGGGCGTGGGACTTCAAACGTGGCTCTCCCGCCCGGAGGCCAGGCTGGCGAACACGGGTGGCTCCGTGGGGCGAGCGGGTGGGTGAGAGCCCAGCGCCCAGGACTCTTTCTGGGTGGTATCCGAACGCACCAGGGGGAAACCTGATCTTTCTGCCTCCCTAAACCCGTTGTTTCCCTCCCAACACGCACACACACACCAAACCCCAAGTCGCTCCGCGAACCTTCACAATGGTGACTTTTGTGCCTCGCCTAGGGAAACCAGAGTCCTGCTGGTTTGAGGTATGTAACTTAACACACGCTGGTTGCGTCAGTTCGCAATTATAGCATCAGAGTGGCTATTGCAAAATATATTAGATGCAAAATACAGCGGATTAATGGCCCCCCTTCCCTCTGCTGAAACTTCTCGGTGTTACTCCAGCCTCTGCCTGAGAAACAGCTTCGCTACCGTAAACACTGTCCAGATTAAATGAAAAAGTCAGTAAAGGGTCCGGCTCTCGGAGCGGCACGTAACGGCCGCTCGTGGGAGCGAGCGGGAAGCCCATGGAAATTGTTTTTAACGGCAGGTAATACCGTGGGAAAACCGGATGACCTGGGCTGCATGGAAGCGTGCTAAAATGCTCTTTTTCTTTTTTCTTTTTTTCTTTTTTTTTTTTTTTTTTCAGCAAAGCGAGAAAGGGGTTTTGAAAATAGAAAGTGTTGGAATTGACATCTAGTCCAGTGCTTGCACATGTATTAATTCTGCCGTGGTGGGAGGAAAGGGAAAAACCTGTAATTAGGCAGGAGCAGGTGAAAGATTCCAGACGATGAAATACAACAGGCTAAACGGGATAATGTATTCACCATTAAAGGACTGACATTTATTACCAAAAGGAGAGCCGTTATGCTTGAATATGAAAAGAAGCAGATATTAGGCTATATAAATTACCTCCTTCACATTACTTGCATCTAATTCAAAATACATATTTTTTTATATTATATTTTTTTTAATAACCAACGGATTGGTGTTTCAGAGGAAAAGCCGTATCTGCTAAAATACCACCAGGCAAATGATGCACTTTTAACACGCTCCAAAGGCACGATCCCCAAAGCAATCGATCACAATAAAAAGTGTGGAAAGGGGGTTTGAAATAAGTGAAGCCAAAAGGGTCTTTTGACGTGTTTGTAGTGTCACAAGATCAGGGTGGGTACTTCATCTCACAAACACACGCACACGTCTTTCCCGTGCAAATTTCACCCCTTAAAATAGATTTCAGCTTGTTTCTTTCAACTGTTCTATTATTAACACTAATGAAGTTCCAGGCGTATAGGCTACGAAGTGGATGAAGAGCACTGGGTTGTATTTCGAATGTCTGAAGTACTGGTATAGTATACTACTGTGCAAATACGTATACGAATCTCCCCCGTGTTAGAAGCACGAAAAGAAAGACTTTCTTAAAATATAACAGCAACTTACATGGAAAGGTTCAAAAATAAATAACTAAGTCCTCACCCCCGGCTCCCTTTGAGCTCTCGTTAAAATGTTATTCTGATTAGAGCCCAAATATTCTTTCAGATATTTAGACGAAGGCAAAAGCAATGCAAATCAAATCTTCACAGCAAAACCGGCCAAACACTTTAAGGAGCATTCGTTTGTCTGTTCTTTCTTTTTCTTTCTTTCTTTCCTTTCTTTCTTTCCTTCTTTCTTTCTTTCTTTCCTTTCTTTCTTTCTTTCTTTCTTTCTTTCTTTCTTTCTTTCTTTCTTTCTTTCTTTCTTTCTTTCTTTCTTTCTTTCTCTCTTTCTCTCTTTCTCTCTTTCTCTCTTTCTCTCTTTCTTCTTTCTTTCTTTCTTTCTTTCTTTCTTTCTTTCTTTCTTTCTTTCTTTCTTTCTTTCTTTCTTTCTTTCTTTCTTTCTTTCTTTCTTTCTTTCTTTCTTTCTTTCTTTCTTTCTTTCTCTTTCTTTCTTTCTCTTTCTTTCTTTCTTTCTTTCTTTCTTTCTTTCTTTCTTTCTTTCTTTCTTTCTTTCTTTCTTTCTTTCTTTCTTTCTTTCTTTCTTTCTTTCTTTCTTTCTTTCTTTCTCTCTTTCTTTCTCTCTTTCTTTCTCTCTTTCTCTCTTTCTCTCTTTCTTCTCTCTTTCTTTCTCTCTTTCTTTCTCTCTTTCTTTCTCTCTTTCTCTCTTTCTCTCTTTCTCTCTTTCTCTCTTTCTCTCTTTCCCTTTCTCTCTTTCTCTTTCTTTCCCTCTCTCTTTCTCCCTTTTCCCCTTCTTCATTTCTTTCTTTCTTTCTTTCTTGCTTTTATTTCTTCCCTTTCTTCCATTTCTTTTTCTTTTGACACACCTGACATACCACTGAGTCCACTCTGAAGCAGATTAGCAACAAAAGTATGCCCTCTCCGTCTCCAACAAATACCTAAATAAAGCAAGGACCCGCTTTCCGTACCACATTCCTCAAGGTCTGTAAAGATTACCTGAACGAGCGAGCTAAAGACCCCTTTCAAAATAAGAAACGCGCCCGTGTTTATAAACAGCAGAGGCAGCGGGCGCTGGGTTTGCAGGCGGGGGGAGGAAAGCCCGTGGTGGCTGATTAATAGCGAGGAGCTTTGGAGGACTCGTCAAAACCCTGTCAGCCGGAGGAATGCGCTCTCCTCAGAAGGGTCCGGGCAGGCAGGCAGCTGGCTGTGGGCAGGGTGGTGCTGCAGGGCCAGGGGCATCCCACGCCGCGCACCCCCCCACGCACCACCCCCCCACACACACGCCGTCCCCTCCGTCCCCGCGGCCGTGGGGGGTGGAAGGAGGCCGGGGTGAGGCAGAGCCTCCTGGCCAGGGAGGGCAGGGAGCGAGCCGGCACACCGGCGTGGAGCCTGCCCGCCGACACGGGCGGCAGCCCGGAGGGAAGGGGTGGCGAGAGCCGGGCGGGAGCCCACAGAGAAAACAGAGCAACAAGCACAAAAAAAAAAAAAAAATAAATTAAAAAGTAGGGGAGAAACACGCGTGGAGGAGCGCGGGGTGCGCGTGTGGGTGGGAAGCGCTCCAGGAGAACACACACACACACACACACTGATGCGGGCATCCACGCCGTGCGTGTGCCCGGGCTGCGTGGGTGGGTGGGGGCGGGAGGGCAGGCACGGGGCTGTGGGGATCGCGCGGGTCAGGGCGCAAAATGCGCGGGCGCGGGCGCGGGAGGGTCCCCGCGGGCGCGCAGTGGCCCGCGCGAGCCCAGGGCTCCGTCGCGCTCCAGGCGTCCGCATGTGCCGGCGACCGTGTGTGGCCGGTCCCCGAGAGCTGCAACTCCCACGGCTGCTGCGGGGATTTTTTTTTTTTCCCTTCTTTTTTACACTCTTTTTTTTTTTTTTTTTTTCCCTCGCTCGATTCTTTTTTTTTTTTTTTTTTTTTCCCTCCTCATTCAGAGCCCCGGGTGTCTCCCGGCCCTCATTGGCCGCCCCGGCTCGGCGGGGCGGAGCTGGGCCGCCTGCAAAAGGAGGAAAAGAAAAAAAAAACGAGAGGAAAAAAAAAAAAAAAAAAAGGAGACCGAGAGAGGAGAGGGAGGAAAAAAAAAAGGAGAAAACTGTAAGTGCGTAAAAAAGTTCTCGCCGTGGTGACGGATGCTCAAAAGTTCAGGAGTTTTTCCGATGCTTCCCAAAGCAGCCTGGGACTGAAAAAGAGACTGAAAAAAAGCGAAAGGGAGAGAGAGAGGGAGACTTTGCACTGGGAGATCGGGAAGGTGGATTTTTTTCTTCTTCTGCTCGCTTAAAAAAAGCCAACAAAACACATCCCTCTACTTTTGTCCCTCCTTTGCAGACAACTTGTTGCAGATCCCCGTGGAACAAGGAACTGGGAGCGTGGGAGCCTCTTTGCAAAGGTTTTATTTTCTTAATACTCTTTCTGCGTTTGGAAGTTGCTTTCTCCGCTGCGATTACTTTTTTTTTTTTTTTCCCTCCCCCGTTTTCTTTTTAAAAACATTTTTCCCCCTTTTTCACCCCCCTCCTTTTTTTCCATTTTTTTGACTTTTTTTTTTTTTTTTTTTTTTTCCACCCCCCCCCTCCGCGCGGAGCTTGCCGGTGGGCTTTCCTGGGCGAAGAAGAGGAGACTTTCGGCGCTGCCGTGGTTATTCTTCCTCCCTTTTTCCGCGCTCCGCCGGGGGGGTGGGGGGGTGGGGGTTGCCCGGCCGCCCGGTCCAGCTCGGTCCGCGGAGCGGCGGAGGGGTGGAGGGGGAAGGGACGCGCTGTTTGGTCCGGCGGGGAGGGTGGGGGAAAGCTGACGGGAGGACATGCAGGCTCGCTACTCCGTGTCCAGTCCCAACTCCCTGGGAGTGGTGCCGTACCTCGGCGGAGAGCAGAGCTACTACCGCGCCGCGGCGGCGGCGGCCGGCGGGGGCTACACGGCCATGCCGGCCCCGATGAGCATGTACTCCCACCCGGCCCACGAGCAGTACCCGGCCGGCATGGCCCGCGCCTACGGGCCCTACACGCCGCCGCCGCAGCCCAAGGATATGGTGAAGCCGCCCTACAGCTACATCGCCCTCATCACCATGGCCATCCAGAACGCGCCCGATAAGAAGATCACCTTGAACGGGATCTACCAGTTCATCATGGAGCGGTTCCCTTTCTACCGGGACAACAAGCAGGGCTGGCAGAACAGCATCCGCCACAACCTCTCCCTCAACGAGTGCTTCGTCAAGGTGCCCCGCGACGACAAGAAGCCCGGCAAGGGCAGCTACTGGACCCTCGACCCCGACTCCTACAACATGTTCGAGAACGGCAGCTTCCTCCGCCGCCGCCGCCGCTTCAAGAAGAAGGACGCCGTCAAGGACAAGGAGGAGAAGGACCGCCTGCACCTCAAGGACCATGCCCCGCCGCGCCCGCCGCCGCCCGCCGCCGCCGAGCCCGAGGGCGGCCCCGCCGGGGGCAGCGCCGCGCCGCCGCCGCCGCCCGTCCGCATCCAGGACATCAAGACGGAGAACGGCACGGCCTCGCCGCCGCAGGCCGTGTCCCCCCCCGGCGCCGCGCCGCCGCTCGGCGCCGTGCCCAAGATCGAGAGCCCCGACAGCAGCAGCAGCAGCCTCTCCAGCAGCAGCGGCGGCGGCGGCGGCGGCGGCGGCGGCAGCCCCCGCGGCACCCTCCCCTCCGGCCGCTCCCTCAGCCTGGAGGCCCCCGAGCCGCCCCCGCCGCCGCCCCCGCCGCCGCCGCCGCCGCCCCCGCCGCCCCCCCCGCCCCACCACCACGGCCCGGGCTTCAGCGTGGACAACATCATGACCTCGCTGCGGGGCTCGCCGCAGGCCGTTGCCGAGCTGGGCGCCGGCCTCCTGGCCCCCGCCGCCGCCGCCCCGCGCACCGGCATCCCGCCCGCCCTCTCCCTCGGCGGCTACTCGCCGGGCCACAGCTCCGTTTACGGCTCGCCCTGCGGCCAGGCGGCCGCCGGCACCGCCGCCGCCGGCACCTACCACTGCAACATGCAGGCCATGAGCCTCTACGCGGCGGCGGGCGGCGCCGAACGGCCCGGCCACCTGCCCGCCGCCGCCAGCCCCGCCGAGGACCCGCTGCCCGACTACGCCATGCCCGCGGGGGGCGGCGGCGGGGCGGGGGGCGGCGGCGGCGGCGGCGGCGGCGGGGCGGGGGGGGGGCGGCGGCGGGGCGCTGGGGCACGGCGGCGCGGCGGGCGGCCACCAGGAGGGGCCCCACCCGCACCCGCACCCGCACCAGGGCCGCCTGGCCTCCTGGTACCTCAACCAGGCGGCGGCGGCGGCGGCGGCGGCGGCGGCGGCGGCGGCGGCGGCGGGGGGGGGCGGCGGCGGCGGCGGCGGCGGCGGCGGGGAGCTGGGCCCGCTGGCGGGCGCGGCGGGCTACGCGGGGCCGCAGCAGGGCTTCGCCGCCGCCCCGCGGGAGGTCTTCGAGGCGCCGCGGCTGGGCCTCAGCGCCTCGCCGGGCGGCGGCGGTGGCGGCGGGGCGGGGGGCGGCGGTGGCGGCGGGGCGGGGGGCGGCGGCAGCTGTCAGATGGCGTTCCCCGGCAGCCAGCCGCTCTACCGCACCTCCGGGGCCTTCGTCTACGACTGCGGCAAGTTCTGAGCGCGCCCCGCCGCGGGGAGACCGCGGGGGCCGCCGCGCCCCCGGAGGGGAGGCGAGCGCCCGCGGAAAGCTTTTGTACAGAGACAGCCCCAAAGCATGTCTTGGTTTGTTAAAGGACAGTGTTACTCCAATAACACGTAAGTTTTTCGGTTTGGTTTGGTTTGTTGTTTTTTTTGTTTGTGTTGTTTTTTGGTTTTTGTTTTTTTTTTGTTTTTTTTTTTTTTTAAATTGCTTTGAGAAATACTTTTTCCCCCGTCCCCCAACCCTCTCTCTTCCCCACCCCTTAAGGTATTGTCATGCCCCGCGTTTAAAAGGGGGCGAAAAGTCCAGCGTAGAGTACCAGCTTCTTTCCCCCCACCCCCTTCCTCTTTTACAAGGACTTGTTTTAAAATGTAAATTGCGACATAGTAATTTATTTTTAATTTGTAGTTGGATGTTGCGGACCAAACGCCAGAAAGTGTTTCCCCCTTCCCTGAAAAGTGACGTTAAAATTGACTGAAACGCTGATTTTTTCACTATATATAAAAAGGGAAACTGTATTAATCTTATTCTATCAATATTTTTCCTTTTTTTTTTTTTTGTTGAAAATATTCTGAAGGTATTGCATTGTTTGTTTATTAATAAATTACCATTCAGTTGGAATGATCCTTTACACGTCTGTATATTTTAATACTTTCGCTTAGAGAGAGAGAGAAAGAGAGGGAAAAGGGATTTCATAACTAACTTTGTCGCTGGAACAGCTCGTTCCCCTCCGCACAAATTCCAAAGACCATTTAGGAACTGCCAGGTCGAAAAATCCCTTTTCAGTCTCTTCTGCAATATGTTCCACTTAGTCAGCTCGCCTTATCCGCTAGGAAAAAAATACTTTCCCATGGCAGCTCTGAGTTGGCAAATAAACAAACACGTTTTCTTAGCAATTAATGGGCAAGACCTGGAAACATTTGACCATACACAGTAGTATGACAACATTACGGCTTTTTAAATAATATGCCTGTGTAAGGATATATTAAGCGATAACTCCGAGGTAGAAGTACATCCACTAGGTTCCTGCCCTTGTGTGACCGTGTATATATCGAGCTATCGATCTCTCTGTGTGTATTTCAAATGTATTTATATATAGGATTTACATATGTACCTATATTTAAAGAAGGATTATGTATTTATTTATAGCTTCATACACGCATTGCATATGTTTCTAAACTCCACAGTGTATAGTAGATGCCAGATATTCTGCAGTACATTTATTCTTAAATATAATGTAAGCATATAAATCGCTGCTTCGTAGAATTGATAGCAATGCGCGCAATCACATCCGTGAAGCTGCTTCTGTAATATATAAAGTACTATTTTATTTCAGAAAAAAAAAAAATGTAGTTGGATTAAAGGGTGCTTGTACAGTCTACCCTTACACCTTTATAGCTCTGCGTTACGCCTGTCCTTTAGGGACATTACCGGTCTGTTGGAAGTGCCCTAATTGCTCGGACTGAAATTATTTTAGAAAGAGTTTGTGCGGGAGAATTTTTCTTATATAGTTGTTTGTTGGGGTTTTGTTCTTTTTTTTTTTTTTTTTTTTCTCTCCTTCCCTCCCTCCTTTTTTCTTAAATCGGAAAAAAAAAAAAAAAAATATATATATATATATATATATATTACCAGAGTAGCAGACGATTGCTGCACAGACTGACGTCTTGTCAGATCGAGAATCTCACCTTCTGGACAATTTGCAATTAAGAACCTACAGGCAATGGGGATCACCTCCCCCCTTTGTAAATAACCACCAAAATGCAATAAATTCATTAACTTAAAAGAATCTGCCTTGTCAGTCAGACTTGGGAAGAAGATTATTTGATTTCAGATATTTAAGGCCTAAAGTTTGCTTTCAAGATAATACAGTTTCCTATCAGTATCTCTTATCTAAGGCAACACTTAGCAGTAATTGCTGTTGCATTGTTAAGGGTTACACTGTAAATAAATACAAAGGTATTTACAGTTAAACCTTATTACCTCGCTTTTGAGCTGCGCTTCCCCTCCATAGCAATAATCTAATATTCAGAAAACACCTTCAGGAGATCGAATGAACCGGGGGGAATGTGTGTGTGTGTGTGTGGGGGGGTGTGGGGTCACTTTATAACGTTGGCTTAAAATATGTTTATTTAAGTAGCGCATAGTCTTTGTTTTTGGTTTTTTTTTTTTTTTTTTTTTTTTCGTGCTCGTACCTCTGCAGAGATTACCGGCCTTATTTATATTTATTTGTTTGTTAAATCGGGTGAGCGAAACTCGAACGCTCCATCGTCCGGTTGCGGTAACGCTGAAGCGAAGAGCGAGCAGAGCTGACCGCCCTCGCTGCGGGGGCACCTTTTAGTCGCAGCTCCCCGTTTTTCACCACTAAAGGGAAACAAAATGTTACCTATTCCCGGTCGCGGCCCCCACCTCTCCCCTCCCGACCCCCCCCCGCCCCCACCTCCCGGCACCGAGCGGGGGGCAGCTCAGCTGCCGGTCCCAGTCTTCCCTCTGCTTGTGACCGGCCTTGCCGGGCCGGGGGCTCGGCGAGGCTTTCGCCGCTTCCCCCTGCACCCCCCCAGTCCCCCCCTGCCTCGAAAAGGGGAGCTCCGGAGGCGGCAGCTCACTCTGCACCCCGCTGCTGGCTTTGCCAGCGAGGTGGCTGCACTGTAACGCCAATTCCCGCCCCGTCTTTAAAATAAAAATGAGTATTAAAGAAGGGAGAGGGTACAGAGGCGATTGCATGAGCTATTTCCCTGTTATTTTTGTTGCGACCAGGCGCCGGCTTTCCTGTATTTTGGGTTTTCTGAGCGGTCTCCAGCGGTAGGGTGTTTGTGGCGAAAATAAATCGGAGGGAAAGCAGTTGTTAGCTCGGCTTGTTTCATCCCCCCGTTGCGGTGTCAGTGGTGCTTCTCGGTTCGGGGAGCTGGGGCGGGGAGGGGGGCGGGGGGGGGGGGGCTGTGCGGAGCTGGAACAAGTGCGGTGTAGCGTTACTGCTAATGCCCGGGCCGGCCCGCTGCCCTCCGCGGCCCCGGCCCCGCGGGGCGGCCGCGCAACTTGCGCTCCCCGCGGCCCTGGCTGGGAAAGGGGGGGGGGAGGTGGAAGGGGCTCACCTGGCCAAGGTCGGGGGGTGGGGGCCACTCGTAGTCCGGGAGGGGGAAAAGGGAAACGTCCCGCTCGGCCTTCAGGTAGGTCGGGCCGGGACCCTCTGCCCCCGGCGGGGATCCCTTTCCTGCAGTGACGTGCGTGGCCGTGGCGGAGGTCACCTCCTGGTTGGCTTACCGTACACGCGTGTTTCGGTTTGTTTGTGGTTTGTTGTTTTTTTTTTGTTTTGTTTTGGTTTGGTTTGTTTTTTTTTTGGTGTGTGTGTTTAAAATAATATTATTTTCATATTATCACTATTGTATACTCCCCCTCCGCACAGAAACTGTTCACAACGAAAATACCATTAGCGGTCCCCCCGGTAGGCAGTGAATCGGGGGGCCCGCCCGGCGCGCAGCCCGGAGCCGCGGGGTCCCTGCGCGGGGCTTGCGCGGGGCTTGCGCGGGGTTGCGCGGAAGTGGCGGAGCGGGGCCTCCGGCGTGAGAAGCTGCTGCTGAAAGGCGGGGGGGGGGGGGGGGGGGATGGAAGGCCCGGCGGGCTTGCTAAAAACCTTGGCGGGCTGGGGCAGAGCAGCGGGGCGGGCGCGGAGCGGGATGCGGACCCTCGTCCCTCTCGGGCTTCCCTCCCCCTGAGAGCGGGAGGCGAAGGCGAGGGTCCCCTCTGACCTGTGATTGTCTCCCCGCAGAACCAGGCCTGCCCCAAAGGCCAAAAGAGATGCGGTCTCGACCCTGCGCGGAGGTGGGAGCGGGACGTGCGCCCCGGCAGCAGCGGGAAGGTGCCCCCGTAAGGCCTCTGCGTCTTTTTTTTTTTTTTTTTTTTTCAAAACTATTGCTTTGCTTTTTGTATGGGGGGGGGAAATCTAAACCATACTTTTTTTAAAAAAAAAAAAAAAACCCCAAACAAATTAATTCGAGGAACCATTTCGTTTAGCTGGTTCTGGTGGTTTCTTCCTTGTATTTGCTCATCTGTCTCTTAAACTGAGGAGAACGTGCAGAAGAGGAATATTCTCCCTTCTAAGTTTCCCCCTCAATTTCTTGTTAAAGCAATTGCAGTTCATATTATATTCTACAAAGGTCATAACCAAGAATAGCAGAGAAGTGCATGCAAATAGCTGAGAGGACATGGATTAAAAACCTTCCCCTACCTCCACAGGCCAGGTCAGATGGAGAAGGTGGTGAGACTGTTGTGGATGGAGACGTTAAGAGAATGTTTCCAAATCGGCGTTTTACACTATCTGGGGCCCTTTCTGAAAGCCACGAAGTTCGGGAAAGGCGCTTCGAAGTTAGCACGGGAATATTTTCACAGTCGGGCTTAACTTCCTACTGCTATCGGTAACCCTGGGGTTGACCAGCCGGCTGCACCCTGCCGTCCTCGGCCCTCGCCTCCCCAAAAATACGCTGCTGGAGCGGGGGGCGAGCTTAGAGCTTCGCTCGGGGCTACGGCGGCTTTTGCTTGAGCGTTGCGGGAGAGTCGCCAGCGGCGCCCGCAAAGGCCGGTGCGGGTTTTGGGGGGGAGGCAGCGTGGGGCCGCCGCGCAGGAAGCCCACGGGCCGAGGGCTCCCACGTAAAGGGGTGCGTGAGGGAACGATGATTACGTCGTCTCCATTGCGTAAGCAAAAGCGTGCCGCGCCGAGGCGCGCACATGGCGCGGCTGCAGGAGCGCTGCGGTGCGGTACCCCGAGGTGCGCTCCCCCGTCCTCCGCCCGAAATCACCCACTTTCGACAGCAACCTCTAACCGCGCACTAGCTTTCAATTAATTTCGCTGATAAAGTAATTTAAACTCCCTCGGCGTGGTCAGTCCGTTTTCCCCCGGTTCCTTGTGGTGGGCTACGGGCGCGTTGGCTAAACGCTTCCGTGATTTTGAGATGCCCGGGTGGCTTTTTTGGGGGGAGGGGGATGAGGAGCGCGGCGGTGGGCGCCGTCGGGGTGCCCGAGGCTGGGCTGGCGCGGCGCGGGGAGGGGCGCAGGTGGCGCGCCCAGGTGCGCAACCAGGGCAGCGCGGAGGGCAAGAGCAGGCTTCCGCGGCAAGCTGCGCAAGAAGCGCTCCGCGTCGACCGAGCGGGCCTAAAGTGCGGCGGAGGGGAGCTGCTCCGCTGGGACGTGCGTGGGTTTCGATCCGCCGGCATCTCGCACACAAGCCCACGGGCTGGGAGGATGCCGCTTACCCTTCCCGTGTGGTTTGTTGTGGAGATTCATCCTCCACCCCCCCCCCCCCCCCCCCCCCCCCTTCTTTTTCCTTTTCCCTTCAGCCTCGTCTCCCCGGCGGCTTGTCTGTGTTGTGAATCCGCCCCAAAGGTGGTGCGGTGCCGCGGTGAACGTAGCCCTCCTGGTTTAATTACACTGGGGCTCATAAAGCCATTCGCTTCTTTCCAAAGTAATAAACAAACGTCGCGTTAGGTCAAGATTGATGGTGTCCATGCAATAAAAACGGGCCAGGTCAGGAAGGAATAAAATTCAATCAGAGCTCGCGGAATCATTTTTCAGGGGACAGAAAGACAGAAAAGGAGACGGGGGTCAAGGGAGACGATGTCGCCATTCACAACACACC